TCAGGGTGGCAGATACCGTGCCGAGCTCCGGCCGTGGAGCGGGACCCCCGAGGCAGGAGCAGCGTGTGGGCAGCAATTAAACTGGGCAGCGAACGCTGAATCCAAGCTGTCCAGCCTCTCGCTGGCTGGTGACTGTTCTTGCTGGCAGAGAGTGTTTTTGGAGATATCATGGGGTTTTTTTTCCTGCCCATGGGAAGGTGTTTCCTGTTAAAGGCCGGGGGGCTCGGGAAGGAAAATGCCTTAGGGGCAGCCCTACTCCATAGCTCCAGCACGGCCCCTTTGCTACAGATCTCTGCTGGTTGAAGCAGGTGTTTTGCCTGTTGCAGGGACTCAAACAGCCTCCCTGGGTGCAGGCAGGTGACTCTTGGCTCTTGGAAAGACGAGGCCTGATGCTGCCCGAGCCTCATGCAAGGCTGTGCAAGGAGGGTGGCTTTGGGAGATGAACCCATGGGAGATTGCACCCATGTTGAGGTTGACCTCAGGCCTTGGGCTGGTTGCTACCAGCCTGGAAGCAGCTGTTGTGCGTCTATAGGCACATATCCCCAAGCTCCTGTTGCTTTTTTTCCTGCAGCATGGGGTTTGCCAGTATCTGTGCTGGGCAGTGTCACAGGGAGTGGGTAAAGGAGGAGCAAGTGCCAGTGGGCATCTGTATGTGGCGTTGCTGAGCGCATCACTGGCTTGCCATGATCGGCAGGCACCTGGAAGCAGGGAGAAGATGATGATGGGGGAGCAGCAGGAGCATTTGTCCGGGGGTATCATGCTTCGCCCAGTGACTGCAATTAGAGGTGGTTGGCTGGTCTGATCGAGTAGTGCTCCAGGCCACTTTACAACAGGAGGGCTGGGAAAGATGAATTGTGGTTTGCTTTTGGAGGATGGTGTGAGCTCAAGGGAGCAGAAATGGCAGGGTGGCCGAAAGGTGCCAAATTTCTGTATGCTCCCCTTGGGTGGTGTGGTGGTGTTTGGGAGCCCTGGCAAGGAAGTGCAGCCCTTCCAGCAAAGGGCTTGCTGAAGCCACCCGTGATAGCACCCTCATTGCTTTGGCACTTCTGCCTTGGAGTAGCCAGGACGGTGCGTGTGGCAATTCCCTGAACCTTTAGCTTAGATGCATAGATGGCTTGGCCCTCCACCTGTGGACCTGCCTCCCTGATGTCTGGGATGAACTCGATCCCCAAGACCTTTGGGGGCATCCTCCAGCCCAGAGCACCAGCCCATGCTGCAGAGATAGGACCTCCTTCCAGCTCCAGCTGAGCTGGTGGAGCAGCAGTAGCAAAATGGGGAAGAGCTGAGGGAGTCAGAAGGTTATTTCTGGAAGTAAGGCCTAATAATGCTTTCAAGGAAGTGGAGACAGAAGAACTTGAAGGTGTTGCTTCTTGTCTTTCAGGGCCAGAGTTTTCATGGATATTGGCATACGTTTCTATGAGAAGCTGCCACAGAGTCCTGCAGGACAAGTATGGGGAGTTTTCTCCTCCAGCATATCACAGCGATGCCCCAATAAGCTTCTGGTGCAACTGGACTATCCAGGCGGGCTCCAGAAAGCACATAATCATTTATATTCAGGGATTTATGACTAAGGAGGATTGCAACAAAAATGAGGACAAAATCTTGTTTGAAGGAGTTTCCTCACTGGTAGAGGACAGTGTGGTTTATGCTTGCTGGAAAAAGGAGATGCATGTTTTTGCCACCTTTGCTGAGGCCGTCCATGTTGTGTTACTGAAGACATACCTGCCCAACTGCAGAGACACGCAATTTAAAGGCAAGTATTACATCTTTCACGATGAGGAAGGTGAATCATCCTCGAGAGAGGATCTGATTTCTGAAACTCCTTCAAAAGTACCGAAGCGAGATCATATTCTTCAGTCTGGGGTGATGGAAGACCTTAGAGATGTGCTGAGCTTTGCAACCACTGCGAGCCTTGGGAGTCTTGATAAGCCCACGGCAGTTAGCACTTTGATCCCAGTGTCGCACCAAGGGCTGAGGACAGAGCTGCTGGAAACAAATGCTCCTTATGTGCTGGGCTGCCTGTGGCCGGCAGCTCCAGCGCTCTGTGGGCAGGACCCAGGCAGAGGAAGCTCTTGGAGTGCAAGCCCCACTGCAACCCTGGATACCTGGAGGCCCAGTCTCTCCATGAGTGGAGACATTGCTGTGGATTTTGGTTATATACATGGATTTTCAAGCGTGCTTTCTGAAACACCGTTGCTTGGTGCTTTGGAGGGAGAGGAGCCTTTCCTGGGGCCTGCTGGTGTGGGCTTGGAGAGCAGGCAGGTGTCCCTGAACCCTTCTCTGCAGCCCAAAGATCTGGGAGACCCACAGTTTAACATCAAACCAACGCACATGAGTGACCTGGACTTGGCTGCACCTTCACAGGCTTTGTCTCCCAGCAGAGAAGAGGGCATTGATCCTGCCGTGTACCAGGGGCTCAGCACAGTTGGGTTGGAGAAGACCAAAAGGTGTCCCCTGTTGAGCAGTGTGGCTGATGGAGCAGCGAGCAGTCTTGCCGAGAGCCTGATGCCTAGCTTGACTAGCCAAAACGATCTGGTAAATGGGGGTCACTCACCACTGCTACCTGGGAGAAGCTTTTTTGAGGCTTTGTCCGTGACTGAACCTGAGCTGAGAACAAGTGTCCTCCAGCATATGACGTTTGTGGGTTTTCCTGCTCCGGGAAGTTTCAGGGGAGTTACTGATGAGGTGAAGAAGGTGCTACATCCTACAGCATCGTGGGACATCCTCAGAGGCCAACCTCAGCTGAGCACCCAGAGCAGCCATGTCCTCCAGTTAGTCCCTACTGACCCCAGGAGGGTTGGCCCATGCAGTGATCATGTGCCCTGTGCGCCCTCTTTGGGTGTGAAAAACTGTGGCTCTCTGAGCAGCACTGTGACACAGCTGCCGTTGGCCATTCCCCTTCTGCCAGCAGCATGGGGATGTGCTCCCTCCACGTCAGAGCCAGTATTTTCCACCCTGGGGATGGAAATGACTCCGATGCTGGTGTGTCCCAGCCTAGACCCTGCCTCAACAGAGCTCGGCTCCCCTGATTTCACCCTGGCAGCATCTTTGCCTGCAGAACAGACTGCGGAGCTGGGGATGTCAGAGCCTTTTGCTGTTTTCACTGCAAATGCTGAGGCCTTCACAGCACTGCCAACCTGGGAGCTGGGGGGACTTGTCGAGGGGATGGAGCCCCCTGTGCCAGCAGCCTTTCCCCTGGAAGGCTTGGACAAGGCTTGGACCTCCATCTCCCCAAGCCCTCGACAGGGAAGTGACCTTATGGGTCCCTTTGTGGCCTCCTCCAGCTGCCTCGGCCCCGGTGTGAGAAAGCTCGTGCTGGATGGGGATGGAGAGGAGGGCAGCTGGAGAGGTGAAGTGTTGGCTCCTGCAGGCTGGGCAGACAAGGGACCCATCCCTGCTGCCAGTGCTGCTTGGCAGCAGGTCCTCGACCCACAGCTTGGCATGGGGCTTCCTCAGCCAGAGGACCTGGTGGCGGCATCTCTCCCATCAGCACCTGTGTCTCTGCCCTCTGATGACCCCGTATCCCAAAACATACGGATACCAGCAGGAGGAGAACGTCACAAACATGCTGGTAGGTCTTTAATGTTTGGTATCTTGGCATAAGCCCTCTTCTGTAGGCAGAACTCGGGTGTGGTGGCGAGGATGTATCCATAACCTGCAGTCCTAAATTAGCAAATGTAATGCCAGCTGTCCGGGTGCAGGAGGCTTCCCGTACACTGGTCTTATCCACAAAACTGGATGTGAAACCATCTAATATAAGCTGTCACTGGCTCGAAAGCTGGACAGGATAGGTGCAGTTGGAGCCCAGATGGGCCATGAAGGGCCAGATCCCCGTGAAGGGGGGGCCAGCCCCTGTTGCCCATCTGAGATGTGGTTAAGGGGACTGAACTACAGAAATTTTGCAGTAGGAGAGGATTTGAAGCAGGGTCTTCTCTTCTGTGATCGTTTGCATCACTCCTAGAAGCGGTATGTTTCCTAATGTATACAATAATTGCTGATCGTGTGTTTCCTCTCTGCTTGTGTGTCCTGACTTGCCAGAGCTGGGATCGCCCTGGACAATGGAGTACTTCCCTGTTAGGAGCTGCCACATCATCTTGCAGGGTGAATTTGGCTTGTTCTACCTGCCGCTGCACAGTGACATTAAAACCAATGTTTGGTGCAACTGGACCATCTGGGCCGGCCCCCAGAAACACATCCTGATCTATGTCCAGGGGTTTCAGGCGAGTGAAGGCTGTGATAAGAACCAGGATAAGATAATTTTCCAAGGGGTCTTGTCCGATGTGGAAACAAAAGTAGTGTATGCCTGCCACAACCGAGGTACTCTGATCTTTGCTACACAAGCTACTGCGGTCCATGTGTTACTTCTATCAGGGGGTAGTTCCAAATACAAACATTTTAAAGGACGGTATTATGTATTCAGAGACTATACAACTGTGGGCTCTTCAAATGATGCAATAGCTCCTGTCTGGGAAATCTCCAAGACAGATATCTCCAGCAAGGTCAGACACCCTCATGCTCCCAAAGATGCTAATGGAGGTGAGCTCAGTCTGCTGGAAGATGAAACGGAGCTGGAAAGAAGCCTTAGAGATGGCAGTGCTGAGGGGAGAGGAGAGAGTGAAGATGTGTTGGTGGAGCCACCTGCAGCCAGGGGAGACACTGGGGGAAATACCAAGCTGCCAGCCTTGGAGATCACAGAGCGAGGTGTACAGCCTGAGCCTGCTCTGGTCCCCACAGCCCCCTGTAGCACCACGGATGTCCCTTTGGAAGCACCCAGCAGCTCTGCAGGGCCCTCAGCTGCTGAAATCCTGCCTAACCTCGCTCAGATGCGCAGCAGCCTGTTGGCGGGAGTGGCTGCTGCCACTGGGCGTTTGCATGCACAGACGGTGGTGATGGAAGGGCCACCACTTAACGCGAGTGTGAAACCTTCTCCTCTCTACCCATCTCCTGGTATGACTGCTGAAGATACGGTGATGCCAGGAGAAAGGCACGAAGATCTCTTCGGTAAGGCCTTTGAGGTTGTTTCTGATGCCTGACACTGCAACATTCATTTCCAGTCGAGCAGCCCTCCTAAGAGGGTTTTATGTGTAGAGGTGGCCTTTACCCCCAGTGTCCTGGTCCATGTGGTGCGACTTGATTCCTGCT